ATCAAAAAAATTTTGTAAGCAGAATGGACGGAACGCCTGTGCGAAATGACAATGTGATATTTCGAACGACAACCAAAGATTCCCTAGCAGTCCTGAAAGTGCGTGGTATTGCTTACACATCGCCCACAGACAGCATGGGCCGTTTCACGGGGGGCGGCGGAGGCGGCTTCTTTGCTCGCGAAGGCGGGGGAGGTGGAGGAGCTTTCTTGTTCAATGCCGTACCGTTCAAGGTGCCCGAGCTAGCTCTTCTGGAAATGGCATTCCCGTACGAAGGAGGGCTCGAGCGTCCCTGGTAGAACACGTCGGATTGGGAATTAACATGCGCAGTGGATTCATCGTAAGGATCAGAATATGGATTATCTGGCATCATGCTGACAGGCCGAGGTTGAGAGCTATCTCTGCGGGAGACGAAATTTTCACTGGTCGCTCGTGATTGCCACGAAGATGAACCAGACGGCTGCAGATGCCGCAACTGCGAAGGGCCCTCGAAAGTTGAGGTGCGGTTCAAAACAGGTCGCTGGTAAGGCGTCTCCGCTGGGTACGCTTCTCTCACGGGCAGAGTTGGGGGAACAGATGAAGTATGACGGTCTGACCTAATGATCGGTCTGGGACTAACACCGTTGGTTACCTCCTCATGCAGCGGGTCGTAGCGTTCATGATAGGAATGTGCGGTATTGGAACGGGCACGCCCGGTACGGCGACCATTTGGCGTTTGCGATTGGAATTGGCTAGGACCCGAGTCAGCTTCAAGCAAGCTCGTGTGCCAATAGTTTTGACTCACTCTGCAGGCCAATCATTCTTGATTTGGAGAAGTGCTTCTCGGCACCGTTCGTGGTAATTGAGCTGCGCTTCGAGGAATGCAGCCAAATCCGCGACACCTTCTACCTCCGCATCCTTGATATCGTACATCCGCCTGTAAACGTCTTCGTTGGCCTCTTCGTACTTGACCTTCTGAGTACGCAATTCTTCTTCAACGCGAAAGTCCTCTTTCTTCGCTTTCTGCATCTTAGAGAGTGACGTATCGTAGGCCAATCTTCGGCTGTCAAGCTTCTTGCGGGCAGCCTGCTCGAGTCGTTAGATGTCATGGCGTTCGTAATGGATAGACTCGTACAGAGCGAAATCGTACCTGGTATTCTTTCATCTGGGCTAGAGATCGTTCAAGGGATTCAAGATAGGTGGCAGTAGCCTGTGAGATATAGGTTTCCTGCACGCGAGCAATCCGCTCCTCTGCCCTGCCAAACACTATTCGGTAGAAAGAACAACGTCAGATAACCAATCGCTTGTCAAGCAGCAGGAGTAGGGCGGTCGCTTACTCGTCAAACAACGGCCATATTCGGAATTGGCATCGAAATCCTCGCCATGGCTGACCATGCTGCTACCCAAATGAGCTATAGGCAGTGTTTTCTCCTTGTCATCTCCTTCGCTGCGCTTGGAGATGGACTTTATATAAGCAACCAAGGATTTATGAATACGGTCGACCCCTAGAGAGTGACAGATGAATAGTGTCAGCAAAAGGCAACATGAGAAAATTCCATGCCATAGGAAGCAGATCTTGCCCACCTTCATGTTTCACGTTCATTTCGGTCTCCAGGGCTTTAAAGTCATCAGAGAGATTAGTCTTAATTTCACCGCCCATCCTCTCGCCTGCCCATTGCTTGAAGCGGTCGAGCTTTTTATTGACGTTCATATTGGCTGAATGTGTATTAAGTATAGGTGTAGATGAAGCGTTATGATGGAGGACACGTCGACGGGAAATGAATGGGATTTCCTTTTAAATCTATGTAGGAACCGAATGCGGCGGTTGCAGATGTACAGAGGTTAGTCCGTTCTGGCGATGGACTATGCAACGAGAGATAGCAACTGGAATAGTCCAAAACTCATGGATTGAATAATGGCGGCATTCGGTGAATTTAAGGCATGTATTCACACTGAGTGAAAGGCAATAGGACTGGTTTTTGGGCAGAAGAAGAGGAGGTTGGGAAAGTAGAAATCGGGACGATGTCCTCGAGGGTGGGAATGCTTGGGAATTAATGGAGAGCAGGTCACTCGCCAACAGGGTTAATGAATGTTATTATCAATTTTAATCAATCTAAATAAATAAAGGTCTCTATCCCTACAATCATTATTCGTCAGGAGCAAATGTAAATATTAATTGATTTAATTCCCCATGGTAGTCGAGGAATGGCATTGTGACTTGACAAAAGTGCCAATCGCAGCTGTCTGAATGCGCCACCGTCCAGGTACAAACTCCGGGAGTCCAGAACAAATCAGTACCCTCCCCTCCCCACCCTCCAGTTCCTTCTATCCTCTTGGCAGCATTGTCTCATCCAGTCTCAGACATTTACAGGAGTACCTTAGATGACAAGCGGAGTTGATACGGTGATATCCAAGTGCGATTAATAGTGGACTTCTACCTGTGATGCCTTGCTATATGTCCGGGTGGTTTATCGACTATCATCATATCATGGAAACAATGATTGACCATCGAACCACACGAGTACTTAGCTGCCGACCACCTAATAGGAGAAGGTGAGTGTATGTCCCATTCAGATGGTTATGATGTCTGAGACTCCTGAAACCTGGTTATCTGAAACTTAGCTTCTTGGTTAGCCTGGAGTCTTGCACTGTTATTGTTAGACTTCATTTGCCGTAATCGTATCTGTCTACAGAGTAACCTGTACACGCGTTGGTGGGCCGCTTGTGGGACGTTGTCGAGGATCACAGTCCCTTACTGGTGGATTGAAATTTCAAAAGTTCAGAAGTACTCCGTAGACGGAGCAGGTTGCCACGATACTATTTACAGAACAAATCAAGCACCGTATCTATACCGTACAGTACTCTAACCGCCCCATGAGGTATCAAAGGGAGAGCCATAAGACTGCAATAATAATGTATGGTGCATGGCGGAAATATATTTAAAGCTTGTAGGTTGGTAGACTTGTGGCTCGAAGAACTGATGGCTTAGATTGCCGCGAACTTCACTATACAACATCTACTGTAATTCATGGAAACCAGGAGCTGCAAGTCTGTAGAAGAATGAAAAATATATCTCTCGTTGGACGGTGATATACAACTGTTGTTCGCTTTTACTTGATTAAACACTGCAAAGTTAGACAGTCTGTAGTGCATACTTAAAAGAAACTTAAAAAACAACATGTTATATGCTATATGTGTCATCACCAAGAAAGTCCATATGTATCCACTGAATTTTATACTATTAATAGAGTGAAGTTCACAAAGTGTATACACTGTACAACAACACATATCCTCCAACAGTCTTCCAACCTCAGCGCAAAAAATTCATTGACCAAGGGCTCCTATGATGTCAAATGTACAAGGAATTAAAGCATACTGCATACAGCGTACAGCACACAGGAGATACTCATCTGTGCTCTCAGTTATTCACATACAGAAGGCTCTCCTGTATATCCAGTGGGATCGGTCGAAATGAACGAGCTTCATAGCTATTGTACCTTCTCTGGCCACAGAATATACTCATTCTCCGCAGCTAACATAGCATCGAATTCATTCCAAACAACAGCATCGTTGGTGGTCGAAGCACGGGAATCATTCAAAGCGCCGAATGGGTCAGGCTCGTAGCAGACACTATCGTCACCAAGGGGCCGGTTCACATTCCAATCTTCACCTAGGCCAGAGTCAACCGAGACATTTCGATTCCGACAATCCAGAGCAGATGCCGAGTATTGCCCCGGCGTCACGCCCATGACCTTTTTGAAAATGCGATGGAAATGACTGGGCGTCAGGTTGGCATCGCTGGCCAGCTTCTGAAGCGTCGGTTTGCAGCCGTTTAGGACTTCCAAATCAATGGCTTCGCAAGCCTTTTGTATCAACTGGACTTGTGGATTTGCCGCCCAGTGCGTTTCCGGTTTGCAGCGCTTACAGGCCCGGAACCCTGCTGATTCTGCCTGTGAGGGTGTGTCGTAGAATGTGACATTGGCGCGGCGGGCAAGGCGAGCTGGACAGGATGGGCGGCAGTATATTTTTGTCGTCAGGACGGCGTAGACGAATGTATTGGCGGTTGCATCGCGGTTCACAACTGCTTGCCAACGTGCAGTAGCAGACGTGGATGGCCTAGCGGCCCTGGCCAGGGGGAGTATCTTCTGCAGGGCATTATTTGAATCATCGACCACATGCATTTTGATGTATCCCAGAGAACAATGAGATGAAGAGCAAGTAGAGATGCTAGTGATGAGTTATGGGAGTTTGCAACTCCTGGTGTTTTCCATGGAATACGACAACTCTCCTTGGTGCAGCTCGCGCTGCTGATTGGTCACTTTGAGAGCAGAACCTCGTTTCCATCAGTTAACGGGATCCGAATCATCTGAAAGGTAGGTATCCGACCTCCCTTATTTGTCTCCAGCCAGAATCAGAACCAGTGAGATAGAACAAGTGATCGTTTTAGAAGGAGGAATGCAAGGGCTGGCTATTATACAATATCGACAAGTCTAGGACAGAGCATAACGGAGTCGAGTGAAAGTTGGCTTTATATCTTGGCTACAAACGTTGGATGAGGTCAACTTCCGAGAATGAATGCCCTCGGCGGTTGAAGTACATTTGAGAGAAGCCTAAAGGCCATCGTCTTCCATGCTGATAGCAATGCAGCAGCTGCAATAGTCTATTCTGAGCCATCTGCTCTGACCTGAAGGTTAAGTGAGCTCAGACTCCAGGGGTTTGATGCCACACGATGGCTCATCATGTTGAACACCGAATGAACGAGAAAAGGGAATTTTCATTGATTACCACGAGGTTCTTCCGCTCTTGCTGAGACATGCGTCATGTAATGCATCGCGAGACACTGGATTCCATCCCATTTTTGTTCTGATCTTTTTGGTCATCATGAAAAAAAATTTTGTTGGCCACAACCTTAATTCGCTAAGGACGTGTGGAAGATAATCCGCAGTCGCCTAAGTACATATGTCTCATAGCAGAAGAGCATTTTCAACCCGTCAAAAAGAACAAAACTCCGCACAAGATCACATTTAATCCTTGGTCTTCTGGGTACCACGGAGCAGACCAGTTCTCCGGGCAGCAATAAGACCGGCTTTTTGACCGTGGGCGGCGTAGCGAGAGATGGTCGAGGCCTTACCGATATGCTGGTGGTTACCACCACCGTGAGGCTGTAGAGAGAATCCTTGTCAGATATTGTTCGAGAAAAAATATATACAAAATAAGAGAAGGGCAGATCTTACGTGATCGACGGGGTTCATGGCAACACCACGAGTCTTGGGCCAAGAGTTGCGCTTGACAGCGAACTTGTGCTTGGCACGAGAAGCCTCTGTAGATACTCGTTAGCAACCGACGCCCTTCATATCCTTCCACACTAAACGGGGGTTTGAGAATCAGAGTAACATACTGAGCAGAGGCTTGTCGGTACGACCACCACCAGCGACGATACCAACCATACCACGAGCGGTGTTCTTCACAACCTTCTTGGCACCACTGGGGAGCTTGATTCTGGTCTTGCCCTCCTCAGGGTTGTGGCCGATAACGGTAACGTAGTTTCCGGAGGTACGACCAAGAGCACCACGGTCACCAGACTTCTCCTCGACGTTGGAAACAACGGTACCCTCAGGAACGGAGGCGAGGGGGAGGATGTTGCCGACGGTCAGGGCAGCGTTCTTTCCGGCGTAAATGAATTGACCAGTGTACATGCCCTCGTTGGCGATGAAGGTCTCGGTAACCATCTTGAACTTGTAAGGGTGACGGAACTGGACCTTAGCGAGAGGAGCACCACGGCCGGGGTCGTGGATGATCTCCTTCACAACACCCCTGACATATCCATGGCGCTCAGCGAAGTCGAGCGTGCGGAACTGGGCAGGAGCCTTGTTGAGACGGGTGTGAGCCGCTGAAGACGTAAAAAGACATCAATTAGCATTTTCTGGATTCTCGAATGTAAAAGTTCCTGCAAAGTCTCGCATGCAGGTTATTCATTTCATTGCGGTCGCACTCACTGAAAATGGATCCACGACCCTTCCTCTGATTGCGGATCACACGACCCATGGCGACTTTCTATATGTTGAAACCTTTGCGTTAGTATTCAAAAGAAAGACCGCCGGCGACCGTTGGTGGGAGTTATCAATTGCTCGTACCTCAAATCGAAAATGGGCTTGTCGGGTTGGTGTTGAGAATTCGTCGGAGGATGGGCTGTGTGGGCTTTAGGGCGAGATCGCTAATCTAACCGAGTTGGCGCTAGCGCCGTTTGGGCCCTGGCGCGGCTGTGATTTGCGCGCGGATAACGTGACGTCTTGACTTACGTGTAGATAGCCCTCAAATACAAATCATCACTTGGTGCCGTTTTTCCAACTCCTGGAGTAAATACCTTCTAGCCGTGTGGTCTTCGTGGCCATTGTCCTTCATTCCATAGGTGTCTAGAGGATTGTCTTATAAAGGCTGACGCCAATCCTCGATATATCAATGAAGTTTGGTGCAGACTTTCTACAGTTTTGCTCAAGCACCTCTGGCCTAATGTGCTCGCTTAAATAATGCATGGGAATTCGTTCCGGATGGATCCAAGATGAGATGCATTTGCGCTTATTTCCTGCGACAAAATACGTGGTTCTCGGGTACAGGAGCAAGCTGAGCTTCAATGACATGGCGAATCTTGCAACGGACCCCTCATTTTTCCCTCAAATCTTCTGGATAATATCAGATTATTGACAGTACCCTTCAGGCACAACTCTCAGTTAGCAATCGGTATTGTGCCGCAATTTCGGAGCTAATAGGCATTCCGATGGGCTTCTGTCATTGACAGGCCCAAGCAGCTGAGACATTTGCCACTATGCATCTCAAAACTTTTGAGAATTTCAGTATCTTCATGAAGTTCGTCTAGTCTTTGGACGAGAAGACAGAATCTCTGCATCCAGTATGCTTTTTGGAGGGAAGAGGATTAGATACGTTTGGAACATGTCTGAATCGTTCTCCCTCCCGTACGTCCCCCTTGACGGCTCATATTGTGATGCTCCGAGTGGCCCTGGTTGATCAAACTTATGATGGTCTTCAGTTGATCTTAATCATTTTCGTCTGTTCATGGAGTGTAACCCTTCCTGGCTACAGTTGATGCTCAATCCTAGGGAACGCCCCTGTGATGACGCACATAATCTGCTTCAGTATCTCAATTCCCTAGGCTCAGTTGTATGCTTGTATGAATGGTGCACCTAGAATCTACATCTTTATTGCTATATTTGAGTGAATTCATAAGAGATTAGAGTGTTCTTGAGCAAAAAACTAGTCACCGCCTGACATTAACTGGTACCATCCATAAGGCCGGACAGTCATGGCGCGTGGAAGCCGCGCTTCAACCGAGTAGCGTCAGTAAGGGAACTTCTTCGCGGCGCGGACTTGCCCACCGTCACCTCGTCCTCGAATGCATCACATTGAGACAGCACCCCAACCATGTCGAACATGTCGCTTTCCGACTCAGATCTCTCGTCGCTATCGTCAGCGCCTCCTTCAGAAGATGAAGTTGGTCCTATGGCTCTCGATGAGCCTGTTGGCATCACCAAGTACTTCAAGAAGGAATCCGAGTCTCCGCCGCCGAAACGGGAGCCCTCACCACCTCATGAATATGTTCTAGCTGATAATCCTGACATTGCAGTAAGTTTAGAAAGTCGCTCGAGCTTACAGAAGCTCCCATCGACAGTCTGGCGCGCCAGACTATTCGCTACAGCCTGTTTGCTAACTTGTCGCAACTTTATAGTTTATTGTGATGTTCCGCGCGCGTTTTCATGAGGTCTTCCCGCGATCGACGCCACACTTTGGACCCCAGGATATCGAGAGAGGTGTCGTGGAGCTTCCACCAGGCGATTATATTGAGAGACTTCTATGTGCATTGCTCGGTCTCGTGCTAAATCGGAAGAAGGATGTTGAGTATGAGCACCTGGTCCCTACACCATCAGATGGCCACCGCACCATTTATTCCTTATGCTCGTGCAAGGCTTTTGCGACCAGATAGAGGACTAACTATTTCACGCTGATTCACAGCCGAGCTCACTACCAGCGACCTCTTGAAGAGGCAATTCAAACTCATGCCTCCCAATGGCCCAAGGCTTGGCAAGGAAAGAACCCCCTTCATGGGGGTCGCACCTTTGCAACAATGTCACCCGAAGAACGCGTATGCCAATGCGATGCGGATATTCCATTACAAGTCCAAGGCACTGATAATTTGAATAGTTGACATTGCTGAAGTCGCTGATTCTCTGGTCCCTTTCTTCATCTGAAGCCGTTCAAGCCAAGATTAAAGAATCCTACAAGCAAGCCCGCCATGAGGACGATCTGAACCAACCGCTTTCAGTCCAACCGTGGGGCCGTGACGGCCTGAAGCGTCGGTACTGGCTGGTCGAGGGTTTGGATGATACACATTTCAGGTTATATCGCGAGAGCAACCCGGCCCTCAAGAACGTTACGTGGTGGAGTGTAGCCGGGAGTATACCCGAGTTGAAGGCTGTCGCAGATAAGCTGGATGGAGAGAAGAGTATACATGCGAAGAAGCTCAGTGAACGGATCAAGAATTCCATACCTCGTTTTGAGGGCTCAGAGGAGGTAAGCTGCTATAGCCGCCCGTGCTCTAACCTTCTTATTGACGACCCGCAAGAAACGCAAGAGACGGGACTATCGCATTGCCCGCAAAGCCGCCTTCGCTCGACCAGAGCCCGGTTTTTCACTGTACGAAGGCCGAACTCGTGGCAAGAAGCTCAAGTACACATATTCAGATGACGAGGATATCTTTTCCGACGAGTTTCCCTCAACAAGACGATCGACACGGAACGCTTCCGGAATTTCAACACCTGCAGAACCTGCGGGACCCAGATATACTGCAAGTGGTAGGCAGATACGCGCACGAGCGGGTGGCCTGTACGGTGAGAGCCTCCTTAGTGGCCAGCGCGGCGAGGAAGCCGAGGAAACCGGTAGACCCCAAAGGTCTCGGGCGACTCGAGCAAATGGCTATACGGACTACAATATGGACGATGAGTCGGACGCTGGTCACTCCAGTGGAAACGAGTGGCAGGGTGGCGAGGAAGAGGAAGACAATGATTTCGAAGGCGATGATGAAGGCGACTTGAGTGGGGACGAGTCGGTCATAAACGGACAAGATCGGAGTCTGGTGGTGCAGTTAAGATACGGCAAGGGAAAACTACCAAGCAGCCCTCACGAGCCTGTCGAGGAGTCGTCAGCAGAGAAACTTCAAAATGCACATACAGACTCAGCGGACAAAGCAGACATAGCAAATCCGTCAACGGCCTCTGAGACTCAGGCTATGAGTCAAGTGCCGGACTCTGAGACCAACAGACAGATGGATACGGCAGACGCGCAAGCGCCGACTGTGGATGTCGGGAAAATGCCCAGCATTGTGCCGATGAACACAGCTGTTTATGAGCAGAAGGCCGATCCACTGAATGAGCTTAACGGTCAACAACGAGAGACGCGTGAGGGTACTGAACAGCCTTCCGGAACCGACTTGTCGCGAAATCAAATAGCTCCCATCAACGGTCCAAATGAGACGGGTTGAGAATTCTTGAATCACGGCTACTCCAAGTTTCTTACCAAAAGCGAAGTCTTCACCTGACACTCGATTAGTGTTCTGTGGCGCAGTGTTACCATTTCCGAAAACCATTAACACGAATTCAGGCAAAACGGGAGTTTGTTTCCATCGAGAGTTTGTCAGGCTTCTGTTGAGCGGTATATTTACGTTCAAAGGTCTATCTGGCCTGGAGTTCGCAATGGTTCTTATAGCAGGATGATTTTATATGAGGCTCAAGGGGCATGTCACACCGAGCCCAGAACTCGGCTGCTGATCCAGGCGCAAGGACTACTGCTGACTCAACACCTTCTACCTACGATAAATGTATATTATTTTGAGGCGGGAATGAGACGCTTTAAAAGGTTAGACGAGAATCGCAAAGTATGGTTGGACTTTTTGCTTGCATATCGATTACGCTATGCAATATGAAGTCATTGACAACGAAGAAGAAAAGAACGCCAAATCCCTAACTCCGATAATGCAATGCGAGTCCCTGTCCCAATATGGAAAAGTGATGCAGAGAGACTTTAGTCTGCACCAGCATTCGAAAATTGCGCCGTGTAGAACTGTAAGAACTCCGAGAACGTCAGCTGCAGATCGACTTGATTTTGAACCATATATCAGAAATAGGTATATTCTCGCGCCAATGTCTCGCTTGACCACATTGAAAGATGTGCACTTACGTCTTCGACCTTGGAAGCAAGCCGAGGGTCCTTTGTGGTACCCAGGGGAGGAAGCTTCCAATTATTGACTTCGTACCACCACCTTCGTAGTCTGCTACCGAGCGTCTGGCCACTGAGAGAAGCTGTGCGGTTCCAGTAACGCCAGCCAGAAAGCGCAAGAGTCCAAAGAGTACCCTGGATGAGTGGTAGAAGAACCTAATATTTTGCGACCCATTTCATCAGCATTCTAGCGTTTCAATTCACACAGCGACAACGAGATCTCTCAACTCATAGTCGAGTATCCGTACCTGGTCCCGAATGGTAATCCATGCAACTCGTCCCCATGTGTCGGCACCTCGCAAGCTGGCGAGATAGCTCTGCTCAAACCGCAGATCGGGTAAAGGAGGAAGAGTATGACGGCGTGAAACGGGTCTAACCATGCGACTGGGATCAACAATATCAGACGGGATGCTGTCAGTTTCGGAGGAAGAGCGTCGTGCCACAGGTCGCTTCTCCGAGGCGGCGGTTGGAGGATTGATGTCGTGTCTCGGGGATGGATCCCGCTTGATTGAGGCGGTTTGGATGGTTTCTGCCAGTTCTAAAGCAGGGTCGGCCATTTTTTTGAGAGGTTTGAAGATGCTAAATAAATGAGTATTCCGAGTGAGTTTGTAGATGTCGGTTATCGGGGATTGTTCTCGTGTAGGTACACCGGACTTTGGAGGTTATCCGGTCTCCTGACGCAACAAATCATAAGGACCGCCTGGACCGGCAACTGGCCGGCCGCCGATCTCACTACGGTAAACCATTCCACCTCGCTGTCTGCCCCTCCTCAGAACACCCCGCCGAAGTATTATTATCATTAGTTTCTCCTCCTCCTCTGCTTCTCTTTCTTACTCCTCGTCACTCCGCTTCCTCCATTTTCCCTTCATACATATCGTATCGTCAATTGCAACGGGAAAAATGGCCGCTGCTCAGGGATACCCTTTTTTGTGCTTGGAGAACCCTCTCCTAGGTGCGTGTTATTTCACATATCCTGACAACGGACAACAACTATCCGGACGTTGATTTAGTATGCTGACCCTGAAGGGTCTTAGATATCCAAGCCGTCGGGTAGGTCACTGATGGACGACATCGGAAAGTCTAAACCAATTGGATATCAACTGATTGAACCTTGCACAGTGATGCCGCTCTTCTGGAAAAGTACGGTCTTAAGGACAACGATGCCATCCTTGCAGAGGAGAAGCACATGGGACTTTACGATGAGCTCCTTGGTCGTGATGCTAAGTTAATTGCTGGTGGTGCTGCACAGAACACCGCCCGCGGTGCCCAGGTATGCGGTGTAGATCACCTTTCTTCAGTCTGAGGCCATTGCTGATCGAGGATATAACCTAACAGTACATACTCCCCGAGAACTCCGTCATGTACATTGGCTGTGTCGGTAAGGACAAGTACGCGGATATCCTCAAGGAGGCCTGCAACCAGGCTGGTGTCCACACTGAGTATCGTGTGGACGATGTCCAGCCCACCGGCAAGTGCGGCGTCATTATCACTGGTCACAACCGTAGCATGTGCACTCACCTCGCTGCGGCAAACGAGTACAAGATTGACCACTTGAAGCAGCCTCATGTCTGGTCTCTTGTCGAGAAGGCTCAGTACTACTATGTTGGTGGATACCACCTGACAGTCTGCGTCCCTGCCATTTTGGCCCTTGCCGAGGAGGCCGCTGCCAAGAACAAAGTGAGCAAGATGCCCTTCCTTCTGCATCCTGCTCGATTGAGGTTAACCTTTTGCGATTCAGGTCTTCATGCTTTCTCTTTCCGCCCCCTTCATTCCTCAGTTCTTCAAGGACCAGCTTGACAGCGTTCTGCCCTACACCGACTACACTTTCTGCAACGAAACAGAAGCTCGCGCCTACTCCGAGAGCCACGAATGGGGTACGGATGATGTCGTCGAGATTGCGAAGAAGCTCGCTCAGCTTCCCAAGAAGAACACCAGCCGTCCCAGAGTTGCTATTGTCACCCAAGGCACTCTGCCCACGATTACTGCTACCGTTAAGCCAGGCGGTGAGGTTGAGGTCAAGGAGTTCCCTGTGCACGAGATCCCCAAGAGCAGCATCAACGACACCAACGGTGCTGGGTAAGTCGTCACCAGTCATTCTGCTAATGGTCAACGGAAAATTTGTGCTGACGGGTGTTGTTTGTAGTGATGCGTTCGCTGGCGGCTTTTGCGCCGGTGTTGTTCTGAACAAATCTCTTGAGGAGAGCATGGATATGGGCCAGTGGCTCGCCAGCCTGAGCATTCAAGAGCTGGGACCTTCGTAAGTTTCTCATTCATCTTTCTGTTTTACCGAGGTCCTTTGTCGAAAATAGGCCGTATTTTCGAGGGCCTGCGACCGTTGCCAAACTGCGTCCAGTTTCATTGCGCTAGTGGACAACGGTGCAAGAATCATTTCAATGAATGACGACTAACATCGTGACTTTGCCATATAGTTTCCCCCTCCCCAAGAAGACCTACACCTCCAGCCGCTCATAGAATACCAACCACTTATTATATGTGACGCCCGGCAAGCCATAAGGGGCTATTGCGAGCTTGCAGCATAAAAATATTTCTGGATGATTCAACCCTCTATACCCAGTTGTCCTTGACTTAACGTCTTAGACTTTTTTTCTTTTTTGTTCTTTTCTTTTTAAGATCACTTCCTCCAAAAATTGCGTACAACACTGCGCAGGTATACGAGTTAGGGTACCGCTAGTATGCGGAAGCCGCAGGCTGGTGACGTTCTCAACAACGATGTAATGAATGAATTTTTCGGTCCTATATATTACTCAAAATTCAAGAAATAGAAATGAGCCATAAATTCAAGTCCCTTGTTTTGACTTGGACGTGACAGAAATTTGACGATGTTCGCATTGGAATTTCAAATAGCTCTCTCCTACAAACGGCAAAGAGGAAGCTAATCAATTTCCACAATTTTGAAAGCACCCGAAGAAGTACAAAGGATAGCATGGCTCGTTATTATTCAAAGAAGTAGCCGTCTCCATCAGCATGAAAAAGTACCCAAGGTCTACCCTGAAGTCAACTGTCTGATTCTCAGCAGATCCGACGTTCGGTCCCATCGACGGGACGCCCTCACCAGCAGTGTTGGAAGGTGGGATAGAAGAGTGATTGCATGACCTAGTCAGCTTGTGTGAGATAACAGCAACAGTCGCGATGCGGAGCTGCTCAATAGCCGACAAACTGTCCCAGGATTGTACCGGAGCTAGACGAGGGAGAAAACAGTGCACATGATCGAAAGCAAGGTTGTCGCTTTGCTCTCCGAATCAGAACCGGACGATCCGCCCGCTCCCGGATTATACGATGCTTAAGAGGGCTGTGATCGCGTCCCGCGGCCTCTGGTCTTGTTGTCAATTCACAAACCAAGGGGTCTCGCGTGAATCACCCGCCCTGACCGTAAGATGGAGTCTGCCCGATAGTGCCAAAATGGGAAGCAGATCGACGACTGGTTGGTCCAGAACTTGGGAAGCCCGCTCCAGAGGATAATGTACTAGCCAGGAAGGCATCGTTGGCCCATGATGCATTTACTAAGCCACTTGACATGGGCTGGCTTGGTACTCCGAGAGAAGGAGGGGAAGCCGCTCTTCCCAGAGGACTTCTATCCCAGCCTGTTCCCGAAAGACCATGATAAGCTGCAGGAGTTGAGGAAGACATCCAAGGGGACATTGAGCTTGACCCTCCAAGAAGGTTGTGCATTGAGGTTTGTCCAACGAGGCTTTTCCGGAAGATGAGCTCGTTTGTAGTCATATCATGGGATGCATGGCGAGGGTCCGGGCTTCTGTTGTCTACTGTATTGGCTTGACCTGGATGTTGTCCCAGGCCTGGAGGCGTTCTTGGAACCGAGGATCCACCGATGTCGGGCGACAGTCCGGTGCTCCAAATACTCGGGATACCAGGAAGCGTAGGTCGAGAAGTGTAGGACTGGGACAACGGAGCTGCTGATCCAGCTGTGGGATTTGGCATTGAGAGCTGGAGGCCAGGAGGTGCGATCGGAGGATAGCGAGCAGGGGCATCTGTCTCGCGAAGGGTCGAATTGAGACTCGACTCGAAGAAATTGCTAGGTATTGGTTGCTGATTGGTGCTTCGAGGGAAAGTGAGCTGGTCTGGAAGTGTAGGAGCGTTTTCATAAGTGTCCGACTCAACCAGTCGTTCGACACCTTCGACAATGCGATGCATATTAGCGGACATTGAAGCAGACGCAGACTGCGAACCGCCAAAAGTACTCCTTGAATCCGCAGCGTAATTGGCGTCCTTAGTCACCTGCTGAACATC